GAGGGGGATTCTCTGTGTAATGATCCGGACTATTTTAGGGAGATTCTCTGTGTAATGATCCGGACTATTTTAGGGAGATTCTCTGTGTAATGATCCGGACTATTTGAGGGGGATTATCTGTGTAATGATCCGGACTATTTGAGGGAGATTATCTGTGTAATGATCCGGACTATTTGAGGGAGATTCTCTGTGTAATGATCCGGACTATTTGAGGGAGATTCTCTGTGTAATGATCCGGACTGTTTGAGGGAGATTCTCTGTGTAATGATCCGGACTATTTGAGGGGGATTCTCTGTGTAATGATCCGGACTATTTTAGGGAGATTCTCTGTGTAATGATCCGGACTATTTTAGGGAGATTCTCTGTGTAATGATCCGGACTATTTGAGGGGGATTATCTGTGTAATGATCCGGACTATTTGAGGGAGATTATCTGTGTAATGATCCGGACTGTTTGAGGGAGATTTTCTGTGTAATGATCCGGACTATTTGAGGGAGATTCTCTGTGTAATGATCCGGACTATTTGAGGGAGATTCTCTGTGTAATGATCCGGACTGTTTGAGGGAGATTATCTGTGTAATGATCCGGACTATTTGAGGGAGATTCTCTGTGTAATGATCCGGACTGTTTTAGGGAGATTCTCTGTGTAATGATCCGGACTATTTGAGGGGGATTATCTGTGTAATGATTCGGACTATTTGAGGGAGATTCTCTGTGTAATGATCCGGAGTATTTTAGGGAGATTCTCTGTGTAAAGATCCGGACTATTTGAGGGAGATTCTCTGTGTAATGATCCGGACTATTTTAGGGAGATTCTCTGTGTAATGATCCGGACTATTTGAGGGAGATTCTCTGTGTAATGATCCGGACTATTTGAGGGAGATTCTCTGTGTAATGACCCGGACTATTTTAGGGAGATTCTCTGTGTAATGATCCGGACTGTTTTAGGGAGATTCTCAGTGTAATGATCCGGACTATTTGAGGGAGATTCTCTGTGTAATGATCCGGACTATTTTAGGGAGATTCTCAAATATGTCACCTTGCCTATGAGATGCCTTTCAATCTATGGCGTCAATGGTGTAATCTGGGAGTGACGTCAGAATGCCATACATTTCACGAGTCACTGAACAGCGGTACAACAAAACACTGTGAGATAAATACACGTGTATTTCTTTCTGTAGTTGGTCGTGTTCTGTCCTATATATCCGATGTAACTTAAAACTCCTTAGTTAGGTTTCCTTGTATTAGCCTTGACGTATCGGTTAGCTGTATAATTTGCCCTCCTTTACATCGTCACGCTGGTGCCCCTATTGTAATAAATATAGTAAAGACCAATAGTGTGACCACTTGAGGACGACACAAAACTGACCTTGCGATTTCACAGCTGATTGCATATATAGCCGAAATCATTCATTTTAATTAATGAATTTTGTTACATATTCACGAGAATTCAAAGACCAGAACAAATGCGGACCAGAAATCCGGATATATTTATTGGGAGTCGCAGCAGGTGTTGTATGCATGACCGGACAATTAGAGAGTGAAGCGAGAGTATTCGTTTGATGACTGGCGAGTCCCGGGAGTACGTGGATATTGTCGGGACTTATAATGACGTAAATGCTTGGTGGTCCCCCGTCTACAGCCGTCTGGGCATGGCAACGAATCTACATACCTCACTCATTTAGCGGATGACACGTATCCCACTCCAACACACTTCTCAAATTAGAGGATGGGCTCTTAGCCCTGGAAGTAAGACGGGAGGGGTCCTTTGTTAATTCACGTGATCTACAGAATATTGTACAGCATTTCATCTCTCTGTTTTCTGTAGTAAAATAAGTTTAGGCAATATCATTTTCGGATTTTCGTGTGGGTCTGATGGAAATAGCGCTTTAACTTTTCGGATTCTTGGTTAGACCCTATTGGGACCCCATCCAATTTACTATCGTTTAATTGTCATTGATTTTCACTTGCTAGTTTGATCCGGATCCATGAGACCGCTGTCCCGCTATCTATTAGAATCTGCTCACATCCGCGGGTCAGACAGGCCGTGATACAACGCTTGACAAAAGGCGTAGTTGAGTGGGCTATCATTTGGATATCCGATCCCTTTGGAAAATTAAACCCATGATCACAAATTAATACCGAATCACAATGAACTTATGATGTCCGTCCGCTGTACGAACAACCGAGGGACACATGTCGGGAGCTGATACGGACGCCGAAGTGGCAACGTTCATAAACCAAGTGAAATACGTGTTCTGAGTAGAAATTGAAGAATTGATAACAAAACGTTTTCTATCATTTACTGACGTACTATTACATGTGAGGTTAGCACGAGACAAGGTATTCTGTAAACAACTTGTTTTACATATGGCTCCGTTCTTCACGAGATTGACTTTAACGTTTAAATGGAATTCCAGCCCACTGTCAACACTTCGGAATACGTAATGAATAGTGAGCATTGATCATTCACGTCAGATACACTGCCTAAAAGCGAGAACACGATGATCAATATGATGCACGGTTAGATATTTTAGACCCTCAAATAAAGTTATGCAACAAATTTGCGGTTTTTTTTTGTACTCTCAAATCTAGAGACATTCTGATCGAAACACATTTGTTGAGTGACGCCATTTTGAATGCAGACCATTGTGGATGACAATTAGAATAACATTTTTACATGTACGGAATAATTACACTACAGTATCATGGGCTGCTAGTCCAAGAGCTAGGACGCCATCGCCGTTGAAAAATGCCCAAATGAATGTCAGTTTTACAAATGCATATCATCTTGAACTGTTCCACAGGAAACATAACTAGCTGCTCCAGTTTACAAACACGTGTGGGAAAACGCCAAAAGTGTGAAAGGGTTCGATGCCCTCTGACTTAATCGGAAACTTTCGGGGAATTTCGTAAACGAGTCAATCATTTAGCTAATGTACATATCGGACATTTACCGTACGTTTTGCGATAATGTTCCGGCGATCAGCTGTTTATAGTGATCATGTATATACAGCTTGTTGGTTTTATTGTGATTTTTCATTACTTGAAATTACGCATAATACTAATTAAACATTATAGTGCTCGTTTCGCACGCGTAAAACATTTTTAGGTCAAGATATTCTTTAGTCAATTAACAGATGAGAAGTTCGTCGGTCATACTGCTGTATTCACGTGTTCCTGGTCGATCACATGTTTGGTTACTGATGAGCGCTCCCGGTTATAGTTTACCATCCTGGAAACATTTGATGTCGGAGTTCTCTATTTATGTTTTATTTTATTTATTGATTTGCAGTTAAAGAGTAGATGTGTCAAAAGTGCCATAAGATACAAAGATATACTGACAAGGCTTTGTAAGAGAAGTTCGTTTGATATTAATTGTGTGTGATGAAACACCAGGGACGTTGATTAAGTGACACTATGTTTTGTGTGATGAGAGCGATACAAAATGGTAGAAATGTTGGACAGGCGAAAATCTTGTTTAATCTTGTTGGCGATGCCCTATAACCACCTATCTCTGATTAAAAGTGAAATTTATTTGTGTGTCTCCTGTATTCGTACTGTAGGCGCTGATATTGTACCGTTATTTAGATTGATTTTGTTAATGTACACTGCCTTGTATTTAATCAATACCTGACGACAACACGTGTCTTAAACATAATTACATCAACCATTTACACACGGTAGTGTCACTCATACCAATATACCATGTACTCCATACCAATATACCATGTACTTCATACCAGTATATCATGTACCCCATACCAATATACCATGTACTCCATACCAATATACCATGTACTCCATACCAATATACCATGTACCCCATACCAATATACCATGTACTCCATACCAATATACCATGTACTCCATACCAATATACCATGTACTCCATACCAATATACCATGTACTCAGATGCAATCTATACCATGTACCATTATTACATATAATATCATGTACCCCATACCAATATACCATGTACTCCATATCAATCACCATGTAGATACATATAATATACCATGTGTCCATACCAATATACCATGTACCCCATACCAATATACCATGTACTCCATACCAATACTACCATGTACTCCATACCAAATATACATGTACCCCTCTCTACCAATATACCATGTACAGATCCATACCAATATACGGACATGTAACTCTCTACCGAACGTAGCCATACCCATGTACTCGGACATACCAATATACCATGATCCAAACTCCATACCGGAATTACTCTCTACCACGTGTACCCCATACCAATATACCATGTACTCCATACCAATATACCATGTACTCCATGTACTCCATACCAATACACCATGTACCCCATACCAATATACCATGTACTTCATGCCAATATACCATGTACACAGATGCAATCTATACCATTGTACCATGTTATTACATATAATATCTTATGTTCCCCTTATATAGAGATACCATGTCCCCACTATCAACTCACCATGTAGATACATATAAGATACCAGGTGTCTTGTGCCAATATACCATGTGATTAGAAAGAATATAAATAAGATCTATTGAAACTCCTACTAGACACGGACATTAACTCTCTACCGAACGTAGCCATACCTACTGACAGATCCAAACTCCTACTAGACACGGACATTAACTCTCTACCGAACGTAGCCATACCTACTGACAGATCCAAACCCCTACTAGATACGGACATTAAGTCTCTACCGAACGTATCCATACCTACTGACAGATCCAAACTCCTACTAGACACGGACATTAACTCTCTACCGAACGTAGCCATACCTGCTGACAGATCCAAACTCCTACTAGACACGGACATTAACTCTCTACCGAACGTAGCCATACCTACTGACAGATCCAAACCCCTACTAGACACGGACATTAACTCTCTACCGAACGTAGCCATACCTACTGACAGATCCAAACCCCTACTAGACACGGACATTAACTCTCTACCGAACGTAGCCATATGACAGATCCAAACCCCTACTAGACACGGACATTAACTCTCTACCGAACGTAGCCATACCTACTGACAGATCCAAACGCCTACCAGACACGGACATTAACTCTCTACCGAACGTAGCCATACCTACTGACAGATCTAAACTCCTACTAGACACGGACATTAACACTCTACCGAACGTAGCCATACCTACTGACAGATCAAAACGCCTACTAGACACGGACATTAACTCTCTACCGAACGTAGCCATACCTACTGACAGATCCAAACTCCTACTAGACACGGACATTAACTCTCTACCGAACGTAGCCATACCTACTGACAGATCAAAACGCCTACTAGACACGGACATTAACTCTCTACCGAACGTAGCCATACCTACTGACAGATCCAAACCCCTACTAGACACGGACATTAACTCTCTACCGAACGTAGCCATACCTACTGACAGATCCAAACCCCTACTAGACACGGACATTAACACTCTACCGAACGTAGCCATACCTACTGACAGATCCAAACCCCTACTAGACACGGACATTAACACTCTACCGAACGTAGCCATACCTACTGACAGATCTAAACTCCTACTAGACACGGACATTAACTCTCTACCGAACGTAGCCATACCTACTGACAGATCCAAACTCCTACTAGACACGGACATTAACTCTCTACCGAACGTAGCCATACCTACTGACAGATCTAAACTCCTACTAGACACGGACATTAACTCTCTACCGAACGTAGCCATACCTGCTGACAGATCCAAACTCCTACTAGACACGGACATTAACTCTCTACCGAACGTAGCCATACCTACTGACAGATCCAAACCCCTACTAGACACGGACATTAACTCTCTACCGAACGTAGCCATACCTACTGACAGATCCAAACTCCTACTAGACACGGACATTAACTCTCTACCGAACGTAGCCATACCTACTGACAGATCCAAACTCCTACTAGACACGGACATTATCTCTCTACCGAACGTAGCCATACCAACTGACAGATCCAAACGCCTACTAGACACGGACATTAACTCTCTACCGCCATAACGATCAAAGCCCTACTAGACACGGACATTAACACTCTACCGAACGTAGCCATACTGAAGGATCCAAACGCCTACCAGACACGGACATTAACTCTCTACCGAACGTAGCCATACCTACTGACAGATCCAAACCCCTATTAGACACGGACATTAACTCTCTACCGAACGTAGCCATACCTACTGACAGATCCAAACGCCTACTAGACACGGACATTAACACTCTACCGAACGTAGCCATACCTACTGACAGATCCAAACCCCTACTAGACACGGACATTAACTCTCTACCGAACGTAGCCATACCTACTGACAGATCCAAACTCCTACTAGACACGGACATTAACTCTCTACCGAACGTAGCCATACCTACTGACAGATCTAAACTCCTACTAGACACGGACATTAACTCTCTACCGAACGTAGCCATACTGAAGGATCCAAACGCCTACCAGACACGGACATTAACTCTCTACCGAACGTAGCCATACCTACTGACAGATCCAAACCCCTACTAGACACGGACATTAACTCTCTACCGAACGTAGCCATACCTACTGACAGATCCAAACGCCTACTAGACACGGACATTAGCTCTCTACCGAACGTAGCCATACTGAAGGATCCAAACGCCTACCAGACACGGACATTAGCACTCTACCGAAAGTAGCCATACTGAAGGATCCAAACGCCTACTAGGCATGGACATTAGCTCTCTACCGAACGTAGCCATACTGAAGGATCCAAACGCCTACTAGACACGGACATTAGCTCTCTACCGAACGTAGCCATACTGAAGGATCCAAACGTCTGCAAGAGTCGGATGGTCCGTTTAACGTATGGACGCATTTGTAATATTGTGTTATTTATTGTTTAAAATAGCGGCATGGGTCGTGATCCAAATTAGTTATGTCACGTTCTCAAATGAGAACAAGGTATACAACAACGGAACCAACAAGTAAACTAACGAGCATCAAACACGTCCTTCATATCGCACAAAGACATGACGACCGTAAAACTTCCCCAAGACGGCCAACAGAAGGGACCAGTTAGTTCCAATAGGTATGCCAATAGTCTGTTGGAAGATCTTACCACCCAAATCGACGACGGTTTTGTTAACAAGAAACTCGATCATTTTATGATTTCGACTTTATAGCTTCCTTTGATACAGACGTATTTTTCACGTAACACGTTTCAGTATAGTTCACAACCATATATTTGTACCTCCGTTCACATATAGATATATAAAATAAAGAGAAAGGATCCTTAGAATGGGGTATGGTGGTGTATAGAGTTGAACAAAATCAAATATTCTTATAAAAGAAATATTTCAAAGAAGAGGGCATTGATGATTGGTCAAAAGCTCTTGTAGTTCTTTGAAACCCACATACTTATAATGCTACTTCTTGAATAACAGTATCACAATGAGCCTGTGACCCAGATTTGATAAAACTAAGAATACAGTAAGAAGATAGACAAATAAGCAATAAAACACTGTTATGAATCTAATATAAACGTCGGAGGTCCGTATCCTTATCCTTAATAGGCAATCTGATTGATTGTAATACTGAAGCATGATTAGCCATTTTTTTCCTTGCATAATGTATAAGTGGGGTTTCCTTCTTTGTAAAGCAAATTTAGTTCTATTTGTCTACAGGAAATATAATGATGTTTGCAGATAAGGATCAAGTTATCTGCAAGCACAATGACATATCTCTCATAAATCTTGTGTGGAGTAAAAATCAGGATCGAGGAACACTTACCTGTCTTGTTTTCATTTTAGATTTCAGGCTACTTTAAGAATGAGAGACCGAAAGTATCTAACCCACTCTGAAATTGAATGCAATGTTGTATGTTCTCGTTTCACCCATTCCCAAACACAATTTTCAATAGAATTCATAAGTATCTTTAAATTCATATTCCAATTAATGGACCCTTCACGAAAAGTTCTGGTAGTATAACATTCTTGATAATTCTTAAATCGGGTTTATATTGGCAGATTTCGAAATATTACATCGAAGATGTGTTGTTTGGGTGAGGTTGGGGGCGGGTGGGTGTAGAAATCGAAATATCACCACGATTTATGTGTTGTTCGGGTGTGTTTAGGAAAGCAGAGACCGAAATACCACAACGGCGTGATTATTCGATGTGTTTGGAGACAGCTTAGATTTAAATGTGGCGACCAACACAACATTTTCTCTAGTCGATTGCATGCTCATTGAATCGAAAAGAAATGAATACTTGATTTGAGAGATTATAAAATATGGTTGTTATTGAATGTTATCGCTACGGTGCTTTGAAGCCTCGGCGTTATGTCATCGATAGTTCACAACTGATTATACGATCGTCCATGTTCGACCACTGAGGGAAATGTCTGCTTCAACTGTCAAAACAATAATAACAGATAATAAAAACACACTTCAGCTCAGGTTTAGATTTCATTTGTTTTACTCTGGAAAATAAATAACGGTTTTTTATGAATACTTCTGGTGCCTTATTTCATTGATCTATTATCGTAAGCAGTACATTCTCTGATGTATTGTCAGCAGTACATTCTCTGATGTATTGTCAGTGTTAAATTCTCTGATGTATTGACAGCAGTACATTCTCTGATGTATTGTCAGCGTTACATTCTCTGATGTATTGTCAGTGTTAAATTCTCTGATGTATTGTCAGCAGTACATTCTCTGATGTATTGTCAGTGTTAAATTCTCTGATGTATTGTCAGCGTTACATTCTCTGATGTATTGTCAGCGTTACATTCTCTGATGTATTGTCAGCAGTACATTCTCTGATGTATTGTCAGCAGTACATTCTCTGATGTATTGTCAGTGTTAAATTCTCTGATGTATTGTCAGCAGTACATTCTCTGATGTATTGTCAGTGTTAAATTCTCTAATGTATTGTCAGCAGTACATTCTCTGATGTATTGTTCTCTGATGTATTGTCAGCAGTACATTCTCTGATGTATTGTCAGTGTTAAATTCTCTGGTGTATTGTTAGCAGTACATTCTCTGATGTATTGTCAGCAGTACATTCTCTGATGTATTGTCAGTGTTAAATTCTCTGATGTATTGTCAGTGTTAAATTCTCTGATGTATTGTCAGCAGTACATTCTCTGATGTATTGTCAGCAGTACATTCTCTGATGTATTGTCAGCGTTACATTCTCTGATGTATTGTCAGCGTTACATTCTCTGATGTATTGTCAGCGTTACATTCTCTGATGTATTGTCAGCAGTACATTCTCTGATGTATTGTCAGCGTTACATTCTCTGATGTATTGTCAGCGTTACATTCTCTGATGTATTGTCAGCAGTACATTCTCTGATGTATTGTCAGCAGTACATTCTCTGATGTATTGTCAGCAGTACATTCTCTGATGTATTGTCAGCGTTACATTCTCTGATGTATTGTCAGCGTTACATTCTCTGATGTATTGTCAGCGTTACATTCTCTGATGTATTGTCAGCGTTACATTCTCTGATGTATTGTCAGCGTTACATTCTCTGATGTATTGTCAGCAGCGTTACATTCTCTGATGTATTGTCAGCAGTACATTCTCTGATGTATTGTCAGCAGTACATTCTCTGATGTATTGTCAGCGCGTTACATTCTCTGATGTATTGTCAGCAGTACATTCTCTGATGTATTGTCAGCAGTACATTCTCTGATGTATTACAGCAGTACATTCTCTGATGTATTGTCAGCAGTTACATTCTCTGATGTATTGTCAGTGTTACATTCTTATTGTCAGCAGTACATTCTCTGATGTATTGTCAGCGTTACATTCTCTGATGTATTGTTAGCAGTACATTATCTGATGTATTGTCAGCAGTACATTCTCTGATGTATTGTTAGCAGTACATTCTCTAATGTATTGTCAGCAGTACATTCTCTGATGTATTGTCAGCGTTACATTCTCTGATGTATTGTCAGCGTTACATTCTCTGATGTATTGTCAGCAGTACATTCTCTGATGTATTGTCAGCGTTACATTCTCTGATGTATTGTCAGCAGTACATTCTCTGATGTATTGTCAGCAGTACATTCTCTGATGTATAGTCAGCACTACATTCTCTGATGTATTGTCAGAAGTCCATTCTCTGATGTATTGTCAGCAGTACATTCTCTGATGTATTGTCAGCAGTACATTCTCTGATGTATGTATTCTCTGATGTATTGTCAGCAGTACATTCTCTGATGTATTGTCAGCAGTACATTCTCTGATGTATTGTCAGCAGTACATTCATTCTCTGATGTATTGTCTGATTCTGTATGTATTGTACATTCTCTGATGTATTGTCAGCAGTACATTCTCTGATGTATTGTCAGCAGTACATTCTCTGATGTATTGTCAGCAGTACATTCTCTGATGTATTGTCAGCAGTACATTCTCTGATGTATTGTCAGCAGTACATTCTCTGATGTATTGTTAGCAGTACATTCTCTGATGTATTGTCAGCAGTACATTCTCTGATGTATTGTCAGTGTTAAATTCTCTAATGTATTGTCAGCAGTACATTCTCTGATGTATTGTCAGCAGTACATTCTCTGATGTATTGTCAGCAGTACATTCTCTGATGTATTGTCAGCAGTACATTCTCTGATGTATTGTCAGCAGTACATTCTCTGATGTATTGTCAGCAGTACATTCTCTGATGTATTGTCAGCAGTACATTCTCTGATGTATTGTCAGCAGTACATTCTCTGATGTATTGTCAGCAGTACATTCTCTGATGTATTGTCAGCGTTACATTCTCTGATGTATTGTCAGCAGTACATTCTCTGATGTATTGTCAGCAGTACATTCTCTGATGTATTGTCAGCAGTACATTCTCTGATGTATTGTCAGCATTCTCTGATGTATTGTCAGCAGTACATTCTCTGATGTATTGTGTACATCTGATGTATTGTGTACATTCTCTGATGTATTGTCAGCAGTACATTCTCTGATGTATTGTCAGCAGTACATTCTCTGATGTATTGTCAGCAGTACATTCTC